ACTTCAGACTGTCCCGACTGTGCCCCCTAGTGGTCTCAAAGAATGACTTCAGACTGTCCCGACTGTGCCCCCTAGTGGTCTCAAAGAATGACTTCAGACTGTCCCGACTGTGCCCCCTAGTGGTCCCATAGATTGGCTTCAGACTGTCCCGACTGTGCCCCCTAGTGGTCCCATAGATTGGCTTCAGACTGTCCCAACTGTGCCCCCTAGTGGTCCCATAGATTGGCTTCAGACTGTCCCAACTGTGCCCCCTAGTGGTCCCATAGATTGGCTTCAGACTGTTTACCTACTAATACGTTGGGAGGCAACAGTCTGCCTTACTCTGGTCTACTTTAACCCCAACCCAGTTCATTTTCTCTAAAATTAACCTTAGTGGCTTTGTGCCTCATATTAACCAGATGAAGCCATTCTATGGGACTAATAACCGCTGATAACGTCCATTTAATGGACTGATAACATCTGCAGCAGGTGCTCTAACCCTTCGAATCTAAACGTGGTTTTTTTTTGTCTCTTTAGCTCGATGAACGGTATCTGTTTTGGAGACTGAAACATTTGAATCTAAACATGTTTTTTTTGTCCACTCAGAGGCAGAGAACGGTGTACAGGCTGACGCTCGTGAAGGCCTGGAACGTGGAGGAGATGCAGGCCTACTCTGAGCTGATCGCTTTGGGTCAGCCGGACTTCATCGAAGTGAAGGTAGGACTCTCCGTCGACTCTAAAATCTAAAATCTATTTCTTCATTAAAGTTTGAAAGCACAGAGCTCTGATCGTACCCGCTGWGTGAAGCTGAACGATGTCACTCAATGGAAGATGATTTTAAATATCGAAGGTTTCCGGGTCTTGTGTTCGGTCCTCTGCGGAGCTGTAGTTCACTCCAGGGTTGTGCACCACGCTGACCTTATCGTGATGGTTTGGTGAGCTCTGTATTAATAGTGTGGGAAGTGGCACCTGGTGGCACTTTGAGCTGCAGTTGTTGTGGTAACCAACGAGCCTGAGCCCAGGTTTATTATTCAGAGCATCACATAAAGCTACGATCCCATTAGAGCAGAGGGGGAAACGTCCTGCCTTTCTCCAGAATATGATAATAATTGATCCAGAATCCAATCTGAGAGAACGTTTAAAGGATGTAAACAGTTTCTGAAGTTATAAAGAGTTTTCAGCAGAGATGAAACAATAATCASTTCTGTGACTCGAAGCTTTGCTCTCGTGTCCCGCTGCAGCTGTCTGTCACTTTAAACATCCTGATAAAAGAGAGAGACTCAGGTGAAAAGACCTGCCACAGCCTCGGTTACTATTCATGAAGCAGCTCTGCCCACGCAGAGCTCAACACAAGAAAACCTGCCCTCATTTATAATCCAGAGCTGCCTGACGAGAACTTCACTTTTTCCTCAGTAATTATTTCTTTCTGTCACTTCCAACAGAGTCTGACTGAACCAACGAGTGCTTTGCTTCTAGCATTAGCTTGTTAGCAGTGATCTGAGGACTGTTCTGATCCGTCTGCAGGAAATAAACAATAACATTAAAGATTAAAGACCAGCCTGATGGACCTGAGTTTGTATCGATCAAGATAAATCTGTTGGAACGAATGGAAAGAAAAAAAAGTCAGGTTCAATAAGCAGTAGAGTTTTATTTTGAAAAAAAAAAAAATGTTTTGTTCTTTGAGGGCTTACCTGCCTCCCAGCATGGTGCCGTGATAAAACAAACAAGATCAAACTCTTGTAATTAGTCCCCTGATGCCTCTTTGTTTGTGTGCTCACTGAGAAACTGGCTGAGAGATGCAGATTATTGGACCATTATTTTCAGGCTTGTTGAGAAACAAGATGTAGCTAAAACAGATCATCACAACAGAGGGAGACTTCTAAAGAACTCGTGATGTCTCCAGCCTGATACTCGATGTTTTTACACAGGGATCATTGGGCCTCATGCAAGAACCGTTCGTACGCACAGATTTGTTCTTAAGTTGTGCGTACGAGTGATTTAGGAGAATTTGTGGCATTCACCAATGTTT